GAGGCAGCGGCGGAGACGGCGGACACTGAGGCGAACCAGGACGCCGGAGCGAAGGAGCCGAGAGAGCCGCTAGCCAGCAGCCCCCAGCTCCCGGCTCCGCCTCCCGATCGGCCCTGGACCGCCCCCCCGCGCCGCCTTCCTCAGCCCGCCGCCAGCCCCCCTTCGCCGGCTCCCCCGGCAGACCCGGAGCGTTCTGGAGGCTCCGCCCGGCCTCGTACAGGTCCCGTCGCTCCCTCCCCTTTCCCAGGATCCGTAACGCCGCCCTCACAAGGTTCTTCAGCTGCAAGACCTCTCCAAAATTCTAACACTGAAGACCCTCTTGCGTCTCTCCTAATCTCTCTTGGGTCAATCCAGCTGTCCTAGCTTCACCCCACCCTTGGCCCCAGCCCAAGGATGCACCTGGGGGCGCACCTTAGCTCAGCCTTGACCGAGGCACCGCCTCCCTGAGGGTCGGGTGCGCCCCTGGATGACCAAGACAACTTTCTCTCTCCCGACACCAATCTCAAGAACAAGTCTCCTCAATCCTCTATCTTGTTTCTAGACCCTGAAATAAGTTCCTGCGTCATGAAGGCCCCTCCCCAAGCACTTGACTGGAGTCTCCCACTACCAGGACTGTACCTCACCCCCCTCCATCCAGGCCTGGTTAGCTGTACGAAATGCTAGTGGACATAAGAACTTTGAACCGCATTCCCCACCAGCTGATTCCAATTGGGCTGCTCTGGCCGCCTAGCTGCGGTCCCACCAGGCAGCCCACTCAGGCACTTTTATTTTGGATCCCTGTTCCCAGCTTGGAGCAGCTCTACTTGAGTGCCTTTGCAGTCTGTGCAAAATTCCTGAGAAAGGTGTTAGGTAGGGACCTAGGCTTCTGGGCCCTCTGCCCAGTTCCCACAGCAAAGGGTCTCTCTCTCTCTCTCTCTCTCTCTCTCTCTCTTCCTCCTCTCTCCATCCTTTTTCCCTCTCTCCCTCTCTCCCTGTCTCCACCTCTCCCTCTCTCTCTTTCTCCTTCCTCTCTCCCTCTCTTCCTCTCCCTTTCTCCCACTGTCCCTCTCCCTTTCCCCCCAGATTCAAGTTTAACTATAAACCTGTGTCTTTGAATATTGCTCCCTCTGCACACATGAGCTGATTCAGCCTCTAATTCAGATACCTCATACTGTCCCCCCAAGAGGGCCCATCATCTCTGCAGGAGTAGAGCCTGTGCATTCTCCTTTGGCTACTCTTTCTTCATCTTACCTCTCTGTGTTCTCTCTTTCATCTCTCCACTCATTTCCTTCTTTAGGTGTTGTCTTTAATCTTATAAATCCTCCTATAATTTGTGAGCCATTTCCCTGCTCTGCCTAGCTTGCCCGTCTGCACCTTTAGCACAGTCTTACATTAGTGAATCTTTCGCGGGCTTTTCTCTCTTCTGCATTTTTTTTTTCCTTTAACATTCACACGAATTACTTTTTTCCTCTCCCATCACTTCTTTTTTTTTCTGTTTCTAAGACTCTAGATAAAGGCAGATAACTGAAAATAAAAAGGGAGAAATCTGTTTTGTGACCTTGGACTTAATAGTATTGCTTATTAACTCTTCTTCGAGTGCTAGATGCATGCATATGTAAGCTTTGTACATAGCTGTCACCCAGTGAAGTGGGTGTGACAATTTCCTTTTTTTAAGGCAATAAATAAATAAATAAGTAAAGAAATAAATAAATCTGAGCTCAGGAGGTCAGGGACATGAAGAAACTTCCCAAGGTCACATAGCTAAAAAATCTGGATTTGAACTCTGAGCTTCAAAGCCTTAGCTTTTTCAAAGACGACACACTGTCCTTGGTGACCTTGGAAAAGTTGTGTCTGCTTCCACTTTGAAGTTTGTAAGGTGTGCTTCTCCTGTCTCAGCTTACTTACCTATGAACACAAGGGAGAGAGGGTGGATTCTAGGCTTTCAAGTTCTCTAATTAGAAATGGGCTCCTGCCTCTCTGGTGCCTGCTCCAGTTCATTAACTCCTCCAAATATGTAGCCCTGCCTCTCTCAGTCTCTCCTTTGTGTCCTTACAATCCGCCACTATCCTCAGCCATGGGGCTTTCTGATTCTCTATGCCCCTTTCTTCAAATATGCTGACATAGTCCATTTATAGAAGTGCACACCAGGATAAAAAGGACTCCCTTATGTAAGGCAGAGTCTGTGCGAGCCCTTCACGGACCTCTGATACAAAGGCCTGTCAAATGGAACCAACACTTTCATTCATTCATTCACCAACAAATATCCTACCAGGCGCTATATGGGGATGCAGGGATAGATAATCACAGCTACTGTCCCCAGGAGCTAATAGTGGTGGGGGAGGGGCCCAGGAATGACACCCATACAGAAATAGATCAGGTACCACAGACAGGTAGGCAGGAAAGCAAACAGACTCTGTGAGGTGGCTTGTGACTTCTGCTTGTAGAAATCAAAGAAAGTTTCCCAAGTGGCAGTGTGGGAGTTGAGCCTTGAAGGGTTAGTGCCCTGGAGGTAAGTATTGCAGGTAAAGCTGCATTTGCCGGTCTTGAAACTACTTAGCATTAGACTGCATCCTTTTACTACATCAGGAAGAACTTCATCCTCTGAGGTATTGCTCAAGAAAAAGCTAAAATATCTAGATACTTCATCAGCTTCCACTGCAATTAAGACTTGGGTACATGGTATAGACTTGACCAATCAGCTTGAGCCACTTCAGATGCTGGGAGGGAAGGTGGAATCAGGGAGAATCCATTAAGGGCCAAAGTGACAACATTTGGGGCAATTACGTCCAGTCTTCATTGCTATTAGAAACAGCGTAATTGCTTGGAGCCCAGTGTCACTGTTAGAAGCCAGCGATAATCCTCCTTGAGCTGCCCTATTTGATTCATGGTTGCTGTTGTTACAGGGTCTCTACCAGGCCAGTTCTGCTGTGATTTTGATCTGTGTTCTGGACTTCAAGGATTCGCAGACTAGATCCTGTACTCTCCTGTGTGATCTAATCTCACTTGACTGAATTCTCAATTCTCTTTCTATTTAAATTATTTAGAATCCGTTTCTGTTGCATGCAACTCGGACATCAGTCTGAGAATACAGAAATGTGGAAACAACAGAGGACAGAAAGGTCAAAGCTTATGATGAGAAATGGAGGAGATCCAGTGAGGATGAGAGGAGAAGGAGAACACAAAAATCAGACAAGGACCACATGCTTTAGTATCAACTGTGGGGTGACCACAAGAAAGTAAATTAGGTTTCTGAGCAAATGCTCTGTGATTCTAGACCCTAGCACAGTGTATCAATGAATGGTTATCACAATTTCTGCCTCATGGTTAGGAGGCTATAGAAGTAATTATGCAAAGCTCTTTACAAAGGATAGGTGCTCAATAAATTCTAATCGTCATTTTGATCCATAATCCCAGTAATATCTGGAGTAAGACTTGTTCCCACTTCACTCACAGATGTGAACTCTGAGGCTCAAATGCAAAGAAACTTGATTTTAATCATACAGTTACCAAAGAGCAGAAAACAAAGATCCCTGACACCCAAATTTTTATTCTATATGCTATAGACTGTCTCCCCACACCTTGCACCAGCCCCCTCCACACCCACCCAGTAATCTGCAGTGATCTTCCACATCTGCAATTCCAAGTCCTTATGGTTTCTGGCTATCACCTTTCTCCCCTTGATCTCTTTATTCCCTTCTTCTATCCTCTTTTCCTTCAACTGCATTTCAATATTAGTTTAACTAGTTACATTTCATTATTGATTTAATTTATCTTCCTCTAGGGCCCCCTAGACCTCCATCTCTGACTCCACTAATCTGAAATTCTTTTTCATTCTAACGCCTTCCTTGTGTTCACAAAAAAATGCTTTCTCTTGCTTTATCCCTTATATTTTACACTTGCTCGTCTTGGTATATTTGTAAGATTTTGCTTTCTGTCCTTTTTTTCTCACTCATTCATGATTCATTCTGCTTTACAAAGTACCCCCTGCTCATTCCACCTGGTAGAAGCATTTGGGGGTTGTTAGAAAATCAGGGGCTGGGAGGCAGACAGACAAGCTTGGGCTTAAACCAGCTTTGGTATTTACCTACTGGGTCAGGTCACTTAATGGCACCTACTGCACCTTTCGTTTTCTCATTTGTGAGATGGGGAAAATACTCCCCACTTCTCAGGGCTATTACAGGAATGAAATGAGATGAGGCTAGGAAAGTGTCTCTACCTATGAAGCTGTCATTAAGGTTACAAGGAAATCCAATCATCTTACAGTCTCTCACCTGCTGTTTTCTTCTCCCACCTCCTGGTGTAGGATCTTCACCATGAGCATTTTGCTCTAGCTGCACAGAGGATCTCTTTTCTGTTCCCCGAATATTTCAAGCCCTTCTGGCCCTAGCATCGTCACACACTCCCCCTCTGCCTATCTTCACCCAGCCAACTTCACTCTATATGTCCGATTAATACAGCATTTTCTCTGAGATGACCTTCTGGACAGTCTTTTAATCACTCTCTGTTTCCCATACTCTTCATATTTCCATACAGGCCTTTAAATTTAGCTTAGCCTTTATTTTAAAGGTTGTCCTTTTATGCACATGGTGGTGCAGGCCATTAATCCCAGCACTCAGGAGGCAGAGGCAGGTGGAT